TGAATCTTCAATAGCCACTCGTTTAATGGTCATATTTGGTCTTCCAGAGACAGTAACAGTGGATGATTTGCAAATCTCAACTGAACATTGATTGACAAGATCCACTAGTATACTTCCGATTAAGTTGGTTTCTACATATAATTCGAAATTTGGATCATCTGAAAACATGATTCTGAAAATTAGTCAGCAAGATTTAGAAGCCTTGGGCTATCGAGGAAGATTATATGTAGGATTTAATTCCTATAATTATCGACAGTTTTATCGAGTTTTACGATGTTTTGGTTGCCAATCATATGATCAAAGTATCAAGCAATGTTTTGAGCAGCGTTGCTGTGCACACTGTGCAAAATCCCACTTGGTCTGGGCAATTGCCAGAAGATCCTTTGTGTGTTAAATGTGTCAGAAGTAATAAATATTTGGGAACTAATTTTAATGCGGTGCATTACGCAAGCTCGAATAAATATCCTCTTTTTAACCAACATCTTTTGACGCTTCTTACATCACAAAGTGCTGTCTAAGTTTATATTGCTGGTTCTAAATAGTATATTGGTTATTTATCAAACTTCGTTATTTGGCAGTGTTTTTAGTGTATTTGTATTACTGAGCATAATCTGTAATAGCATATAGTATGTATTAGTAAAGCAAGATATTGTTTTTGTGTTAGCTTATTATAAGTTTGCTTGCATTTTTCTGTTTTAGTTTGTATAATGATATAATATGTAAAATTATATTTATATTGATACAGTATGTTAATTGATGTAACATGCGCCATAAATACTTAATTTGACTTAGATGCTTAATCTCTGTTTAATTTCTGTAATTGAGCAGTGTGCTATCAGTGAATAGGTTGTGTATGTCCCATAACATTGCTTATGTATGATTATGGGGTATTTTGTAATGGCATATGTATCATTATTTCTGTTGCATACTGTCTTGCAATGATAATAATGTGTTTTATACATATGTAATTTATTTTATAGGGGGTTTATATTTTATTGTATTGTATGATAATGATGTTTGACAATAATATTGTATTGATAGTAATGTATTGTATAGAGGCTTCTATACTTGTATGATAACAGCATTGTATTTGAATTGTTATTGTTTGATATGGAATTTGTACAATAGCTGCATTTCTGTACTGTGTATTGTATTTGTACATTAGCAGGTTCAATACTACGAGATTTCTCTGTATAAGAGGAATGAGAATTTTGTCTATATTATAACTATGTACTGAGTGGTAGCTTACTTACTACCCATTGTTCTTATCATATTTTATTTATATTTCTTATATTTATATGTATATATGTTATTTGTAATTTATCATATGTATATCTTCATTAACACAAATGATTATATTATATATGATCAGTAATGACTATGTAATAACACTGTTCTGCGTGTCATAACTAACGACTTTGTAATGCATTTAATGACTTTGTACTGACCTTGTTCAACTTAGTTGTCCTCGCACGCTATATTATATTTGCACTTGTACTATACTCGAATATTTCTGTAGCAAAATACTCTGCAAAGATGTCTGTAACAAACACTTAACTGATACTGTAACATTTGATTTAGAACTTAATAAAAGCCGCTCTATAGACCAGGTAGATTCCGATTGGTTTAACCTTCGGACGGGAGGCCTGGTCTGGGGTGTAGTAGTAGTAGTAGTCTTTCAAACGCAGTGTTTGCCTCAGCTGACCACGAAAATGGGGCTTTTTTTTGTTTTGTTTTCAATTGTAAGAGCGGTTCCGCTAATTTTTGCATTTATTTTTAGACCTGCATCTCTTAATAACGTAAAAACTTCGTTTAAATCTTTTACGTGTTCGTCAATATTTTCACTTGAAGCAATTATATCTTCGAGATAAATAAACGTTAATTTCCCGAGGACAGGTCTTAATATAATGTCCATGGTACCCTGGAAAGTCACCGGGGCTCCGCACAAACCAAAAGGCATTTTCAGGAAAGCATAAGTTTCTGATTTAGTGATGAATGTCGTTTCGGCACATCCTCTGGTTTCATTGCTATTTGGAAATAACCTGAGGTAAGGTCTATGGTGGTCGTGTACTTGGTGGACGTAATGTTTCTTATCACTTCCTCAATCACAGGTAGAGGATAAACGGGGTATTTGATTTATTTTTATTATTTTATTTTTATTATTTTTATTTATTTTTATTTTTATTATTTTCTATTTAGCTTCCTGTAGTCGATAGCTAGCCTACAGGCTTTAAAATTTGAAGGAAGCAGATCATTTGTCTTTCTACACAACACGACAGGACTCACATAAGGTCTGCTTATAGGCTTGATTATTTTATTTTCGAGCAGTGTACTTAATGTGCTCCTCGATTATTTTTCCTTTAACTTTATCATATATGTATCGTCTGGCCTTCACGGGCTCCTCACTTTTTAACTTGATTTCATGATGACCTATCTGAGTGAGGCCAAGTAATTCAGAAAATAAATCAGAAAAATGTCTTACCTGTTCTTGTAGTTTTCTTCTGTCTTTAGATTTCACATGTTCCAGGTTGAGGTCCGGAGGTTGCACAGCTTCTACTTCCTTTGACTTCATGTGCAGTTGCAAAGTTTCATTCTGAAAATTAATTTGGACTCTCGCTGTTTTTAAAAAATCAGTGCCCAAAATTACCGAAGTTTGTAGATTTCGCACTACAAAAAATATAGATTTTTGAATTTCATTCTTTATATCCACATTAAATGTCGCTTCACATATACATGAGTAATGTTTGCATTGCGCTTCAATAACCTTGGTATTTTGCTTTTTAAATAACCTATAATTCTTAAAATTATTTCGAAAGAAATGTTCGGATAGAAAATTTGCTTGCGCTCCTGTATCGACCAGGGCCTCAGTTGGGACCTTATTTAGTCGAATGTCAATCATACGTACGAACATTTTTTATAAATTGAACTTTTGAGGAATTTTTATTCGAATATGGTGACTGTATTCCTTTTTCAGCAGCCACCCGTCCTAGTTTAAATCCTTCTGAACTGCTACGTTTTTTTTTTTTTAATCTTGCGGCCTATTTTGGCAATCGCCTTTCTTTTAATCTTGAAATGTATTCCCGCTATGAGATTTTTTTGTTTGTTCCGCATATAAACTCGAAACATGTCCGTTTTTTCTTTGGCCAAAACTTCTCGTACGAGTATTTTCTGCTACCCTCCTACTCTCGAATTTCACCGCCAGCTCGAACAGTTGTTCTAGAGTGCTGGGGTTTTTTACTTCAAAATGACCTTGAAATTGCGGCAATAGTCGAGGCAAGATAATTTGGAATAGTTCTTCGTCGAGCTTTTTACTATATAATAAATTAGCGACTTGGGCCTTACGTAAGATGAAGTTAGATAACTCTTCAATTTTAAGTTGATACTTGCCGTACAATTCGGCTTTCAAGCCAGATCTATCCTTCACCACGGGAAAAGCTTTTACTAGCGCGGCTTTAAAATTGTCGAACATATAATGTGGGGCTTCCAATTTCTCCCAATCGAAATTTTCCAATTCCTTTGAACCAACTTAATGTCTGTCCTTGCAAGGTGGCCGGTGCTATCGTGATCTTTTGTATATCAGGAATAAGATAAAGTGAAAAGTGGTTATCTAAATTTTCTCTAGGAAGCTAGTGACCGACGTTCTTCCGTCAAATGTCACTGAGGGTTTCATGGAGGCCCTCAGAGTGTCCACGAGATAACAAAAGCCTTCCATCATATTGCCAGGAGCCAGTGAGGTTTGCGATGTCGATGGAGCTAACTCAGCTGCACCTTCGTTGTTAGCTGTGAGTTCGGAAAAATTAGGCTGCCACTTGTAAGACCTATATATATTATTCCACATAAACTAAATTAGATCCTACAATGAACTTGCAAATTCTCGCACAGGCGTGAATAAATTACCAGCGCAGAAGAAGGGTCAAAAGTAATCCTTTATTAGGTCAAACTAATTTAACAGAAAGGCACGGACTTCGTGCGTTACAAAAACACCGTTTACTTGCGGTGGGAACTAAAACGTAGACTATAATACAAATCAAATCTGAACTATAAAGAGTGCAAAAACGCACTTCAATTTTATGCCTAAGAGATGGACTCACAGAAATCTATCCGGCCTGATAGTAATCTGATAAGGCCAAGAGGCTTACTAGCGTGACCGGGAAATAATAACGAAACGTGCGCTTGGCTAGCGAAATACGCTCTGAATAAACTGAGACATTCACACGTTTAAATAGCGTTTCATTTAGCTTTAAAGTTACATCCTGGCGAGAAAATGTGAGGGGAATTTGAGAAGTTTAGAACAGGAAATAAAAATAAATTTGTTATGCAAAATAAGGAAAACCGTACAGTGTAACTTGGTTCCATTAATACTAAGAAAGTTTCAGCAGAGGATATATTTTTGTTTCGAATTTCGAAAGGTGACTGCAACACTTGATTCGAATACAAAAGGCGACTTGACATTGGTGGTTAATAAGAATTTGATTCTGTTTTGGTGGGAACAAATTTAACGATTACATTGTCCTTTTATATTTTAATTAAAATATCACCAATATACTCCACATTAATAAATGCAACGGCGCAACAATTGTTACATAACGAAACACATAAAATATTCTCTTTCGGGGCAACAGCCCCCTCTTACGATGAAACGTTACGACAAACCTTACCTGTACTTTGTTAGGAGTACACTCAATTTACACATCAATAATGAATTCTCAAATAAATATAAATTAACATAATGTATTATAACATAAAGAGAGATCAATAATGAAAATTGCATTGCATATTAATGCCGTATAACATAAATAAAATTTAAACGCAACTTTTAAATTTCAGCTGGATAAATCAATTGTATTGGCCTTCAATAAGGCAGTACGAAATCAAACACGAACGCACATAAGTAGCTCTGCCATTATAAACTTCTATAACTCCAAGAAGCCATAATAATTTTGATTTCGTCGACACCTTCAGCAATACAACCTCACCCGTTTTTAAATTCCTTTCAGGAGATGGATTCAGAAAACTGTGCGCAGGGCGCAAATTTAGATGATCCTCCTTCTGCTGTTGCAAAGTTTGTTTCAAATGGTTAGTCTGATGCAGTTTTCTCCTAACTAAACTCTTCCTGTTATATGCTTCATTCCAGAAGATGTCGGCGAATTGTACACTATAAGAAACATTGTCCTGCCCTGGAAAATCAAAATTAGCTGGTATGAGAATTTGTGGTGCTTCCACTTCATTTCGGACATATGCAAGAAGTCTGTGATTTAAAACTCACTCAATTTCTGAAAGAATAGTCATCATTTCCTCAAAGTCAAGAACAAGGATTTTCCAAGAATTCATGACCCTTTCATGAAACTCACCCCACCAAGACGGATGAGGCGCAATATGTTGCCAAGTTAAGCCGTTTATTGACATAAAATTCTTTTATTTTTAATCTACTATTTCGCAAATTCTTTCAAAATTTCATTAGTGGCTCTAAAGTTCTTAGCGTTGTCGGAAATGATAACTTTAAAATTTCCATCCTCTCAAAACAAAATAAAACTTTTTAGTTTTTTTTTATTTGTGATTAAATCGATATTCACAGCTCTGCTTAATACTGCATGTAAACAATTCTATGTAAGCCTTTTGAGGGGTATCGTTTTCTATCCAAAATCTAGATCTAATTTTGGCGAGCTTGCAAGTCACTTGCCACTATGAACATTTAGGAATTAACTCTTTAGACTGCTTAGGAAGAGGCAAAAGGTGATTCTCATCCTTTGTAAATGCTCCTTCTTCTAATCTTTTTATGCGCAACATCCCACTATTGTCGAGAATTGGGACTTAATTCAAAAGTGGAGATTCCATATAAATCGACATATCATTTTGATGTTCTGTAATTTGAAGTTAAATCCAAAGCTTTGTTTATGTTTTATCCTATCTACTTCGGCACTTTGATGTTCTTCTGCTGTGAGAGTAACTGCAACTGTTTTGAAGGTTATTAAAAAACCGTTTAACTAGCACAGTTATTCTTAGTACTTTAACAAACAGTTATATTTCCTTAAATCTAAAATAAATTGAAAATGTTTTACCAATAGATTTAGAATTTTCTTTTTTACTTATTTTTCAGTGTTATTCCAAATTCCTTTTTAGCTCAAAGTCTACGTCTTTATATCTGCTAGATACCAAAAAAAATGTCTATTAATCCAAAATAAAGTAATCATTGAATTCATTCAATAATAATTAGATGTATTTAATTAAAACATCCAAACATCCACTTACTTGATAGGCGAACCGTTCGGATAATAAACCGCCCATTAATTCGAGGCTTAATAATGTAAAAATTTTAGAGAAGCTACAGAACTTTTAAAACAAAGGAAACAAGTCCTCCCATATGCTGATATAGCTCTGAAATACAGCACAGTTCCATAGGTTAAAAGAGAAGAATTTGAGAAAGAGTTAAGCAGATTTACAATTCAAATTTGAAAAATAATATCTAGGATATTATCCGCCAAATTCTGAAAAGAAACTTTCTTCCTTCTATGGTAAAAGTTCTTAATATGGGACGCTTATTTATACTGATTTAATTTTGTTTTACAACTTTATTTTAAGTGGTATTATTTCTTCGTTATATTCATCTAATGCGTTAATTTTATCCTTAATTTCGTTTTCTTCCTTTACCAATTCATCAGTATCATTGTTAAGTATGTTAAAAATTTCAATTCTACTGTTCAAGTCTCCTAAATATAAATCACATACATCTTTAATGATACTAGATTCATTCAAATATTTGTTTATTTTTTCCTCTAAATTTTTTTCTGAATTTGTACCACATTTATTTCGCAGATTTAAGAACTTAGCCATTTTAACAATTCCTAGCAATAAAGTTTACAAATCAAATATTTTAACAACAAACTGTAATTCTGGAATTCTAAGAAAACATTGCCAGCTTCAAGAACAAATCAAACTTCTAACATTAACAAACAATTCTAATTATACAAAAACAAAACAGTTTTTTACTTGCGAATAAATTCTAATGTTCTAAATATCAATTCAAAACAATTAGTAAAAATGAAAACGAAAGTTCCGAATTTTACCAGAACAAGATTCAGAACTCCAAACTAGATTCAACAATTACAAAGTATAATCTTCAAACAAAATTTCAGAAAAACTATTTACTCACCCCATCATGCGATTTCGAAGCAGGACATTTCTGGCGATTTAACTGCATTATTTCTAATTTCGAACGGCGACTGCAACGCTTGATGATTCGAATACGAAAGGCAACCTGACATCTATGTTTTACATACAAATTGATCCTGTTCTCTTGCGAATAAAATTTAGCTACAGTATTGTCCTTTTATGGTTTAATAAAAACATCAACAAGATACATCACATTAATACAGCAACAACGTCACAGCTCTTACGTAAAATAAACTGGCAGAATATTTTTTAGAACATTCTCTTTAGGTTCAGCAGCGTCCTCTTACGATGAAAAGTTAAATTATTATTATTATTATTTAGGTGCTGCACTCTAAGGCACTACATGAACGGAGGAATACCTTCATGGAGGTCTTCATAAGGGAAACTGGCTCGTGTTAACACGTTGCACACGGGGGAAGTCACGAAAACGCCCATACAGCCTGCCTGTTCACGGAATTCGAAACTTGGACAGAACTACCAGTATTCAGGGACTTTACCACTCGGCTTGCAACAATGATTGTTGCAGTATTCTGTTACAATGAGAAATTAAAAATAAGAAGAGTGAAAAAAGGTGTTAAAATCAACTCAGCGTTTTATCAAGAAAACATTTTATATCTGATGGTTACAGAACAAATTCCATTTCTTTACACTAATGACTTTCAAAGAGTGAATTCTCATCCACACAAAGCAGCAAATCATATTTTAAAAAGTACCATTGCATTCCTTGAAAAAAATGAAGACTTATACAGGTATTGCCTGTATACCCTTTCGAAGTATTCCTGCAAAGTACCTTCATGTTTCACATATAGACTATTGTGAATTTGGTCTCACGAAATGAGCTGTTTTACTTAAACCCACCCTGATTGATAACATGTGAAAGTGGAATGGAAATCAATACTCTTGGAATTGTCATGGGAATCACAATGCAGAATTATAGTCCATAAAAAGTCTATCAGAGTTAACATTTAAAAAAGTACTCTATACATTTTAAATGTTAATTAAACAGCTCTGAACTCGCTTTAAAATGTGTAAACATTCCCCGTAGCGTACATAAAATAGAAATCCATAACTTAACATTATTTGATGTAATACGCCATGCGTAGTATTTAGAAGAAGACCATGTGCTGTTTTTTCGGCCATGTATTACACTATTTGGAAGAAGAGAAGATACTGCGTAATACGGACGCTGCAATGAATGGTATGTTCGCGAACGGCAATGCAGTCAATACTGGATGGTCTTTAACCAAACAGATTGTGGATATAATCTTGAGGAATTAAACCCCAGACACGGATAACTTAGTCCCATAAGTCACAGAGATCTTGCCCTGGACGATTCGAAGTCTACTGAATCTTGGAGATCTTTATCACCAATACTTAATAGGAAGTTAGAAAAGAGAAGGGGATTGCTCTTCCCGTAGATTGCATCAATATTTGTTGGAGTTTCACTCGCAAGTAAATTGAAGTGTTCCAAGATTTAAGAATATTGCAATATATTTAAAATTATAATAATTTAAAAATATAAATTAGAAGCACAAAATTTGAATTATTTAAATATATTACAAATGTGTTACATATTCAATTAAAACATTTCATGTTTTTTATTCAAAATGTAAACACATTTCCAAATATAAAGAATAGTATTTCAATACATTAAATTAAACAGATGTATTGTCTGGTAATTCAAAGTTCACATAATAACTTAATAGCAAAAATTCATATCATAACTCACATCATAACTACTAAAAAAAACAATTAATCTCATTGTTGAATTCCTGAAATTTCTGCAGGTTCCAAAACTTATAAGCGAGTCTGTTGTCGAAATACATATAATATTTAACTAAACCTTATAAGGGCATGATTTTACACTCGAAGCTTGGATGACATTTTTCTCCGAATGTATACTTTTAAATTTCTTTTCTAATCTTGTTTGACCCTTTCTATTCTACATTGCATTTGTTAATTGATTTACTACAATGTATAACTATGCGTTTCTTTATCTTTGTTCTTATAGTAGAAGTTCTGGCATTAATGGGGATTTGCATTGCTCAGACATATGTTGGAGATTCATTCGACTGAACCCGAGTTGAAGCTAGAGCTCGGGGAAGTATTTCGGATAAAGTGAGCAGCTAATGAAAGTAACAAAATCAAAATGGGAGAACGAACTTATGTTCAAGTCAAATTCAAATTTAAATGTATATTTAATCAAAATATAGCAAGGAAATATCATTAATAATTCTTCAGAAAATTTGCATAAACTCAGTGGTTATGGCATATCATGCGGTGACTACCTGCTTGAGAAGGACACTTATCTTGGAGGAATTAAAGAAATCTGGCATGAATCAGCATTACACGTGACAAAAACTATTAATTCACATGCAACGAGCCCTATAATAATAATAATTTATTAAGTTTTTATATTGCGAAATTTTGTGGATTTTCATAGGTTGTTAACCTTTAGCGCTCATTTATTGTGGAATTCATTTCAACTTTGCTATTTTCAAAGTTTCATTTTTTCACTGCTCGGCTGTCTTATGCCTAAACCATTTTTCTTTATCCTCCCCTTTAAAACTACCAGGAATACTTCTCATATGACCAATCAAATATTACATTATTCTGAGTTTCTGCCGGACTGAATAGGACACTAATGAACATACTCTTTACTGTGATGTGTAAGAAGGGATCCTCGGTGTAGAACAGATAATATTCGCTACCCTGTCTTTAATTTCCTTCATTCATACGAGTGAGTATCTTGTCAGCTAGTATTTGTAATTACAACTCAAACGTTTCGTGCCGAAGTTTAGGAATAATGCATTTCTTGGCTTCTTTCTGAACTGGAAGCTTACAAAAGGGATTCGTTCTTTAATGAATCGCGACAGTTTTGTGATCCGGTAT